AATTTTCAAATATGGAAATATTTTTAGAAATACAGTGCAATACGTTTTTAATCAACATGCGTAGGGATAGTACAATAGTTGGTCACTATCATGTGTATTTACGACACGTTGCAATGAAGCTGAATTCAATTTAAACTTAAGAATGTAAACTTTCTTAGTTCCTAGGTTTGGTGATCTTTGTCGCAAATAATTTTTATTGGTCTCGGACTCCACGACGGTCGGAATAATTTTACCGACACTTCTATCTCACTAGAATTATTTCCTTACAACACCATTTCTTTCATCATATTTTATTGAATGTGTTACTAACCACTATATTTAATATGTCACTGATTTCAACAAAGCTTGTTACTGATTTGTCAACATGTAAAGACGAGTAATTAACTTTACTGACTGTTTTGTAAAATAAATCGTCAACTTTTTTTCGTTAGTTTCAGTTTATTGTTCAACTTTTCTAACTTTACGGTAGTTCAAGATTCACAGTGGATAATCAACTTCTTAAAATCATCGTCAGACGTCTTGATTAGGTTTTAATGTTTTTGACTGTTAGTCATTCAAATCACTGGTAATATGGACCCTTAGGTCCACGTTCTTACTAGTTTTTCGAGATCCCCCTTTAGTACCACCATTTAACGCCAAGCTGGGGAAGAAAACCTAAAAAAAGAGTACCAGCGCTTCTCTACAATTTTTAAAGCGCTTTCAATACACCTTTGAAAGTACTAGAATTAAACTTAAAGGACATAATGAATACTGAAAGAAACATCCAAATTGTGGAGTCACTGTTAAGGGCTTCTGGAAATGAGATGAAGGACTTTTTAACTAGAATTTCATCAAGTGAAAACACTGGAAAAATTAAACTAATTTTTCTTTATTGTGTGGAGACTGTGGTAGCACTTTGAAAGGCTGGTAGGAGAGGAGGCAATAGAGTAAGATCTATCTTTATAACTGTATGATATTATAAAAAACACGTATACATAAATGTAATAGTTGTAAAGTGGATTGTATGCATAAAAATCCTAGCAACGTATCCTTTATTATAATGAATAACTATTCTATAATCCAAATACACAGTGCATAAAAAATATGTTGGTTAGTCAAGGCAACAATAAAATTACACAGTAATCGGTACATAAATACATAATAGCAGTATTGTAAAAATATTTATAGAAAGCTCAAGAAACAAAATTTAGAAAAGGATGAATAAAAAACTAGGAAAAACAAAGTAAGTTACATAGAGTCACATCAATACTCAAAAGAGTATTATACCACTGTTTGAAATTCTGTCTGATGTAATATAGTGGTTACGTATTTTAATTCGTCTTTTATTTATCGAATTATTGAAATATTAACATGTAAAAAAGGAATCTAATCAACGACTAAAATATTTTTTATCTGATAAATCAAGTAAGTAAATAGTGCAGTAAATTTTCGAATATGGTAACAATATAAATTATAACGTGTCAGAACCCAAATCAATGGTCCTTTCTTTAAGTCTTACAGTCTTAAGAACTAAGTCTTACATTCGCTTTAAAGACGCAACTGAACTTACTCTCTAACCTTTCTAGTTACCTTAAAGTACTTATTAATAGAAAAAAGGCGTTAATTGGTTTGTGCATGGAGTTGTTGTACTCTTGTAGTTAAAGAGGATACGACAGGTAAGGGATCCAAACAATCAATCACAGCTTAACTTAATTATACTGGCTTGAAATGCACACTTTTACACGTAACTTCATTACCAAATGAAGTCTTACATTCACTTTAAAGACGAAGCTGACTTACTCTCTAACCTTCATACTTACCTTAAAGTACTGAATAAAAGAGAAAAGGCGTTAATTAGTATGTACATAGAGTTGATCTACTCTTGCATTTAAGAAGGTTATGTCAGGTTAGGAATCCAAACGACCGTTTATAGCTTCACCTAATTATTCTCGATGGATATAAGAATAATCGTATTGTCATAAATTTACTACGATTAGTGGTTTAAATCGCGGATTTCTCGGATTTCACGTTTTAGTACAAGTTGTATTGAATATTTTTTAACATGGGCGCTGTATAAAATTGATTAAAAACTACTTTGAGTTTTTTTATTATCAGCTTTTTTCAAAAGAAGTAAGTTATATGTCACGCAACTGCAGAAGCAAATATACAGCTCGAAAATTCAAAAGCACTAAGACTCATTTTTCTTAATTTTGAAAGAATGTGTTTTTTTGAAAATAAAAATCACAAAGAATATGATAAGCGACATCGCAATAGACTCTACATAGGCGTTTAAAAAATTAAAATAAAATGTAGTATTAAACGAAACAAGTCAATAATATTTAAGTACATAGGTTTTTCTTGATCTTCACTGAACATAACATGTTATACCATTAATTAATTATAATTTTTTGTTATTAACAAAGTGTATTTCGTGTAGTTACGAAAGTTTTTCTTATTCTTTTCTAAACACAGCAAGTTATACCAAAAATAAATTATAAATTTGTGTAATTTACGAGGTATATATTACATTGAGATTTAAATTATACTTTATGAAAGTCTATAACCTCAAGGTCGAAATTATTTTTGATACTTTTTTTATAGCTTTATGCATTAAAAAACAATTTCTCAAAAACATACAGTTGAAGTTTCTTCCTTACATTTCAAAGAATAAATTGAATCGAAATTAGAGTAAATTGATTGATAACTCATAGACAAAAATTAAAATTAGTATTTTGCATATTTTACACTACTAACCTATTACTGTTTTTTTTTTTTTTTTTAGTTCTGAATTAATCTTCACAAGTTGGGTTTCTAGTTTACGTAGAATCTCAAAATTAGAGACATTTTTTTCGTAGGTTAGAGAATAATGCTTTTGCAGGTAAAATTGATCAAATAATGTCTCTGAGTGTGTGCGTGTGAGTGTTTGTATGTGCAGGCGTGTTTAAATACATCAGTACTATAAATATACAAAACTACACATGTAAAATACCCCTAAGAACAGCTTCTTTTTTTTCCCTACCGAAATAAGGTAAGCCACTGATAAATTAAGAATATCACTAAATACTGAATCAAATTAAATATGAAATCACGGCAGTCTGCATTTTTTTGAATCTTACACTACGAATGGAACAAAACAAAGCTTTGAAAGTCGCATAGTCTAAGTTTAACATGAACCTGGAGGTATATAATGTTACTCATAGTATTATTGTTGTGATTACAAATTTTCAAATAGAATAATTGAAATTTTTTTTTTTATTTTGATGAATAAATCAAGCTTAAATTTTTTACGATTAGCTGGTATTTAAGGGAGAAAAATTTGGATTTTTAATTTTTTACGAGATTTTAAATATAATCTACATCAATATGAGCATTATTCGTCCTTTACAATTTAAATAATAGATGTTTATTTTTTCATGACAAGAATCAATAACAAATAATGTTATAGAATATTAAATTTGTCTGTAATTACTGCTTGCATAATATCGAAGTGGACTAAAAATCTAGTAGTACTTGATTTATATCTCGATTATTTCATTACTTCGAATTTAAAAACTTTAATTTAATTATGATAGAGACATATTTTATAGTATTTATCGTAAATGAAAAGCTCAGAGATCGTAAAAGCCGAGTCCCTGTTTAAAGCTTGTAGATGCGATGGTACAAATAATACAAGGAGTATCAAATAAAAATAAATTCGATGACAGTTTGTCACTGTATATTATTACTTCCAACCTTTTAGATATTTTTTTTGGGGTTAAACTTCAAAAGTAATATTTATCTACATTTGTTTTGTTGACACTTAAAAATTAATAACATTTTTTCATGCACTGTATCAAAAAGCTATTTGATTTAAGATATTCAGGCTGAGGGGGTCCTTTTCTTAGTTTCCCCATTATTAACTAAAATGTTTTGTTAAAAAAATGTGACAGCGCATTCGAGGTCAAATCATGTCTGTAAACATACATTAAGTGTTCTGATTTTATTACGTTTGAAAATTTAATTATCATCGTACAGTAAAAAATTGTCGATGTATTTGTTATAAATATCAGCAAGCTAAGTCCAAACTATCTAATAAAATCAATTTGTATTATTGAATGGAAATTACAGCTATAATTGAAGCCACTTGATAATCACCCACTCCCTTTCCAAACTGCTTTACACACTTGTTCTACATTTTAGATAGGGCAGGTATTACACTTATAAACAAAGATTAAATCTGCGATCATACAAATAATCATGAAGCAAACTTATTGAAGTAAATTTTTTAAGGAGTTTAGAAGCAGAAAGTAAGTAAATCTAATTTGGTTGATAATGTACACATTTATGTACATACATAGTTATTTTTTTTTTGTTTTTTTTGTTTCTTTTAACTTTTCATTTATAAGATCATGAAAAAGTTTTAAAACGTAGAAAGAAACAAAAAAAAGCTATGTTGAATTCATTAATTAATCTTTACTAGATTTATTGTTTTTGTTAATTTCATTATTTCTTACGTAAACAGTTGCACTTGGTAAAAAAAAAGTTGTAGGTTAGCACACTAAACTATAACTAATTATAATTTATGTCATTTCAATTACTTTTAAATGTCTCAAATAATCACCGTTTTTTGTACTAAAAACTGTTAAGGAAGCTTTCACCGTTAAAATTTTGAGCTAAAAATGGTTAAAGCATAACCTATAGTGTTGTTCCAACTTATATAAAACTTTAAAAAGTAGTTTAAATAATTTAGAAAGTCATAAAACTGGCAGTATGGAATTCATCTACAAATTATATCTATAAAAAATACTAAGATCTAATGATGTGAAAGAATAGTGAATGAATTAAGGTTTTGTTACAAGCTTAAAAACAAGATTTTTAAAATTGTCTTAGAAAAATTTAGTCGACGATTCATTGCAATGGACCAACAATAAAGACGTATTTATTACTGTATAACAAAATATAGCAGTAACATAAAGGGTGATACCTATTATGGATCTTTATCAAATAATTCAAAATTTTTAATTAGACAAAAATATACTTACAGTACTTTTAGGCTTATGAGATCTTTAAAAGCCCCTTCAGCTATATATAACACAGAGTTATGATCCAACTGTAACTTTCTTAACTTTCTTAAGGCGGCAAAAGATAATCGTTCAATGCGGTTGAGTTCATTGTAAGATAAATCCCTAAAAAAAAAGTGTAGTTGTTAACTATACAAACAACATACGATTTTCATAATGTAGAAAGAACTCCCTTTCAAATATACTACAAATAGATAACTATATTTTGTAACTTAAACGCTCCTTAATACAGTAAAAAAAACAACACATTTTTTCGTTTTCAATTTTTGAATCACATGCATACCTTTGAAATGACTCTGAAAACACATCCAGCTAGTTTTGATTCTCTCAATTTAATAAGAATATTTAAATTTTACAAACGTCAATACGTGACCTATAAATTTTTGATTAGATATTTCTTAATACTTTGAGTTTGATTTATCTCTTAAAATTCCTTGAAGTTTTTTTGAACGGCGTTAAAATACACATGTCAGAATTTTCAGCTTTTTTTAAGTTGTAACATGCCGATAAACCCTTAAAACCATGATTTTGGACACCACCTAAGGATGTACTTGTGATTCTTTGAAATTTCATTTTATATCATTAAAATACTCTAAGCTTTTTTTAGATTTATTTATGTAGCACACAAATACTCATACTGCAGAACCCACAAAAAACCGTCATTTATACCGATTTTCGGCACATAACTCATTTTTATTGAATGTTGTACACAGTCAAAAATTATTAGCTATTATTTTAACTATAAATTATAGCTCTATTTACAGCTATAATCAGCTACAATAATAGCTATAATTGACTACAAAGTAGTTATAATCATGTACAAATAACAACTATAAAAAGTAGCTGTTTACAGCTATAAATTTCTAGAGAAATTTTAATTAACAGAATTTATTCAACAATTTTTTGTTGTTGTAAGGTATATCAGCCATACAAGCTAATATTATCCGTATACTAACACTAAAAGTAAGGGGTTCAAGTATTTTTAAATAACAAACGAAGAAACAAAAAAATGTTACTGTTAAAATTTTTTTTGTTAATTGTTCAAAAATACTTGAACCCCCCACTTTTAGTGTTATTATACGGATAATACCACCTTATATGACTGATATACCTTTAAAAAAAAGGATTATTGAATAAATTCTGTTAATTAAAATTCGCTAAAAACTTATAGCTGTAAACAGCTACTTTTTATAGTTGTTATTTGTATGTGATTATAGCTACTTTGTAGTCAATCATAGCTATTATTGTAGCAGATTATAGCTGTAAATACAGCTATGATTTATAGTTAAAATAATAACTAATAATTTTCGACTGAGCATGTTTAAATGTATAAAATTTTTTTATTCCGAATTAAAATACGCACCCATTAATATTTTTTTGTATTTTTGAATGTGGCATAGTATTGAAAAATGACCATCTGTCTGAAAATTGGTCAGGTCAGTGTAATTTCTGACCGTCCATTCACAGTCAGTGACATAAAGTAGTTTTCTGTTGCAAAATAACTGTAATTCTCATTTTGGCCGGGTCAGGCTGACCCGTAGTCGGCAGACCATCAGTTCGCAACTATTTGAATGCAAAGGATATTTTTATCTTAGTGTAATAATATTTAATAAAAGAATTAATTATAATTTTAAAGTTACATATTGGTTTTTAAGCTTTTGTTACCAGCACAGCAAAAACATTATAACCCCGCATATTAAGAATGAAAATTGTTATGTATACGCACACACATATATAAATGTATATAATGGTCATTTAGATGTGTTTAAACAACGAACTCCTACGCACATCGATACGTCATAAGTTTACCACTTTTCACACCTTATTAATTTAGAAACATAACTACTTTAGTCGTAATTCCTAAAACACTAGTCTCAAATTCAGACAAATGTTACAAGTATCATGACTTAAGAAGTAAATTTTCTTATCTTACAACATTTAGATGACTTTTACTGACTAAATACAACATTTTTAAGTTACTCAGATCAATGCGGAGACCAAATTAAAAAATTTTTATTCAAACTCGAACTTTCTTTAAATATAAAACCTCACAATTTCTTTTCTAGCATTCAGTTTTTAATCCCAGTCATTTTTAACCACAGCTGTGAATCTTTGTTTTATCATTCTTTGGATCAAAGTTACCTAATGTCTTTAACGGGCGGTTGATCAAAGAAATTCGATTCCGTCTGAGAAAAGTCAGCAGGACAGTGTGAATACCACCATGTGATAGTCAGCCTGAGGGCCTCACAACACTAACGTGGCAAAACATACTTTAAAACCCAATAAATCATTATTTTTTCTGATGTTTGGCTCATAAATAGCTTCAAGTAAAAAGTGCACATCTAAATAACGAGAGTAAGAGAGAAGTGTATATCTTGCACATCTCTCTTTTTCTCGTGGGTTTAAATGCATTCCTTTTTTATACTTCGGACTGTATGTGAACAGAGTTCTAAATCATGGAAACATGGGGATAAATAAGGGTTAGTAAATAAGTTTTATTTATCACTAAATTTTGTTGAATCGTTTATAAAGTGATTATCAAAACATTTGCTCGGTATAAATTACTATCGTTAAAATATTAAATTTATAAGCAAAAATTTAAAATAAAATAATCCTAATAATTTTAGACACACAAAGTCCTTAACATTTTCTAATTTAATAGCTAAGTGGATTGGAACTCCATGCCCACAATCCAGAAGACTTGAAATCGAATTTGGGTGGAGAATTTATTCGTTTTCATTCAAGACCTCAGTTAGTACTAATTATTTTTATTTCACTTTTAATTTTTTAATTTTCACTGAAATTTATTTGAAAAACACCATGTCTCATTTTGATATGAAATCTCAGCTATGGAATTACCTGAAATTTGAGCAGAAATTTTTCAGAAGGATGCTATTTCACACGATTGTAACATACTTGTTCTAGTGTTTACTTCTCTAAAGCTGATTCTTATAACTTATATAGGTTATGTAACTTCGAAAACTCAATCTCTAGTTACATTACATCGCTGTTTACAACACTTTGTTGATATTCCTTTTCTTCGTTACTTCTTATGTGATGGCGGCCGTACTGTTTTGCGCATGGTAATTTGGGTTGTTCGTTTTTTGTTTAAATGAACTAAACTAACGCATATTAAAAATAACGTTAAAAAAAGACACCACGCTAATGAGATATCTTAAAATCAATGCAATGGACCCTGGACGTAGAAAAGAGAGAGGGAATATTATTTCTCTTAACTAGACTTTTTTTTATGAAGAAGAAGAAAAAGCCTGAAGAATTCAGATTATTAATACCCACTAAGTAGAGCCGTAAATGTAGCTGAAGCATAGACCAGCAGAAGACAAACCCAAAATAATTAAAATGTTATTTTTAAAATCAATATCTTATTTTTAACAGGAGATAAAATAAATTTTAAAATAAAAACTAAGTTCTGTCTTTTTTTTTGTTTATGATGGCATAAATGTCACGTAGATTAACGTTGTCTGATTTTTTACTGGTGGGATGGTAGAACATGTCACTAATATATTTAAGCAGAATCGTTCCTAATTACGCAACGGTGTCATTTCTTTGAAGGTGTAACCCTTAGGGTGCAACAGGTCTATGCAGCAGCAGTATAGACTTAACACATTAGCTTAGGTGGACAATTTTATTCCGCACTTTTTATTACGTGCTGTGGGACAGGACGGCACTACCTCTACTATTTCGCATCACTATTTTACTACCACTACAGCTACAGAATTCTATAGCTAAAGTATATTTTTTATTGGATTTCGTAATATATACATTTTGCCAGTAGTATGCGATACAGTTTTTTTTTTATATTTTACAGCCATTCTGACGAACGGTGCGTATAACGGCTCTGCATTGCTGTGTTACTATGCACGTGTATGATATCGTCATAGTTTTAGGGTATTAATTTGGTATCACAATAGTATTTTGAGTTTTGCATCACTAGTAAGTAAGGAAATAGAACAAAGAGGAAAATGTGTATACAATATTAAAATTCAAAGACAAATTTTTCATGTTACACCAAATACTTTGAAATTCAATATCGATAACGCACCGAAAAATAGCCAACTTTATATATAAATATATATATGATCAAATTGCTATTGAAAAGAGACTGAATTCAATAAAAAATACTAATTTACTCAAAGAACACATTGAAACTTTGACTTACACTATGAAGAAAAACCCCATAGCTAAGAAATACAAACATTTACATCAAATTACAAATATAGAAAATTTACCAAATTATAAAATGATTTTTTTACGTAAAAATAATTAACAAAAACACACGTATAAGCCATTACCTGCAGAATGTAGTGCAAGTATAGTATTTAATTTAGGATTACCAGAAAATTTTGATCTTCATATTTATCCTAAAGAAGTGCCAGAAAATTATCCTACAGAAACGATTTTAAATGAACTTGCCTATTTTATAGATACTATGGTTTTTCCCTTATTTTTTCCTTTAGAAAAATAAGGATGGAGTACAGGTTACTGCAAAAGTTATTCTAAATCAAATAAAAAACTTTCTATGTGGCAATATTACGCAAATAGACTGTCCTACAGACAAGAGGAAAAAAAATTTTAGTCCCTCATTGTATTATGTAATTTGGTAGTCATGTACGCAATAAATGTCATAAATGTATTGGTATGTATGAATACATCAGGTTAAGCTAGATACTATGCTCCTTATTCTTACTATATTATATATGGAGCATTGATGATATATTTAATTTATAAAACTTAGTTCACAACCGACTGCTCATTGCTCTGCACGTCGGGAAGATAAAGCCGCGCGTGTTTGCCTCTTTAACTGAGCAGTCATCTGCCATATTTGAAATAAAGCTACTCTTCTGAATTTAAGAATACAACTTTTATTTCACTTCTCTTCAATGAAATTCCTAAAATCAGGTTAAGGGCACATATCTTAGCAGGCAGAGTGGAAACTGAGTTAAGTAGTGTTTCATGGAAGAGTCCGATAAATATTTAAGTAGCAAGTGCGCAACAGGCACATTTAGTTGGATACCTGGCACGAGGTCTTGTGTGTCAAGACAATATGGCGGACAGATACATCCCTACTGAAAAGTTAAAGGGAC